CTCCTAAACAATGTGCCTTTGTTCATGTTTATGGAACAAGCTAAAGAATCAAGAGTTGTCCGGCGATGTAAAGTAAATTAAAAAAATTGATCATAGTTAATCTGAATTCTCTTTCGACCATAATTTCTTGTCTTTTTATGAGATACATTAGCATGGGTGTACCTTTTTCTGATTGTTTCTAAATATGTTGAACAGTTCGTATAGATACCGAAAATTGTGATGCCACCAATCTTGTCATTACTTTTTTTTTTTTCCATGGAAATTTTCGTGTTGTAGCATGTTGTATATGGCTTGCAGTTCATCATTGGATAAAATTCTCATTTTTTTTATTTGACTTGATGTTTGTTCTGCTTCGTTTGTATTTCCTTGTCCACCAATGATCTTTTCATCTATTAAAAGGAAAAAATAAGGAAGGAATTACAATCGTAACCTAAAAAAACTCACAAGAAAATTAAAGATGGTACCCATATTACGAATGACTGCTGGAAATATTGGTGATTCCACTTTCATATGCATGATTGCTCCATCATATGGTTCACTATTTAAATCTATCCGAAAATGATCCATTTAAAATATCTCTGGATAATTTAAATTGAGATTAATGTATGTAACTAAATTAACACTTGCTTCCTTTTGTTATTCATCATCTTCATCAACGTCAAAATTTGGTGGCAGTATATTTAGATTTTTCCAACTTCTATTTTCATTTTCATATTAAAGAAATTTGTGAGATTTTTTATAGAACAATTTTGGTGGGAATACATAAACCTTTTAGAATACGAAGCAGGTAATTTTAAAAAAAAAATGCCTGGTTTTTTTTGGGGGAATTTTTTCTCGAGAATTTTTTATGTTGAAATAAGATTTTATTTATGCGGGAATGTTTTTCTTTTCCTATTTTTTTGGTTTTTCAATTGTTATGCTTATGAAGTTTGAAAAAATTTAGAGAAACAAAAACAATTTATGGATAATTGATTGACGAGAGATAATAAGTGGTAGAGTAAATTAGTGGAAGTGAAAAAATCAACAACAAATTTTGTGTTGACACGGAATGAATAAATTACAATGATGATGAGAGAGAAATAAATAAAATAAAAATTTGGTAGAAAGGTATATTACTCAAGATATGAGTTTTCTCATCAAATTTAGCTATATTTATTGGTCTTAATTCTTGTGCAGATACCTTAACCGTCAGATAAATTGGCATGGAGGGAGTATACAGTAATATTTTAATTTCCTCGTACTTTTTAATTGCAACTATTTATTGTTGGAACATATCGGGTTACATGTGTGTTTTTTTCTTTTAAGAAATTCAAATCTTGTTACAAATTAAGAAAGTACGGAATGGGGCATAATTCGAACCCTACACCTCTACTCTACTAATAGAGGCTTAAAGGAAATATAATTTGATTAAAACTTGTAATTTTATAATTTTAATTTTAGGAGCCACACTTATAGCAAACATGGCTATGCTTGGAAAATTATCGTAACACTTAATAATATATCTTTCATTGGGGTTACTTTTGTCTCAATATCACCATTATTTTTATATATTTTTTTATATTTAGGCCCAGATTTAGAGCTCAACTTCCACATTCATATTGCACATTGATTCTCTACAAGAATTACAAGAAATAGGCAATCAAGTATCACTCATTTGGTAAGACAATTCTCTTTTGGTGATATTTAAGCATTTACAAAATTTCAATCCCAATATCTCACTTGAGCATCAGAGTGTAATCGTTGAGCCTACCTTGGCGAATCACTTAGTGTTTCATTGTTTTGCAGGATCTTTGGCAGACCCACAACTTCGATCCCTTCGGCCACATGGCAAGGACCCCCGCATTTCCGGTATTAAACTTAGAGAATCCTTGACTTAAAGACCCTTAGGCTGATACAATGACTATGAAGCAGCATCAACATGTTTTGGAGTTTATTACTCCTCAATGGGTTCTCCATACTATCAAGCCCTAGAAAACATAAAACAAATAGAGTAAGAATTTCACTTCATATCATTCTTAGTTCTTCGGCCTCTTAAACAAACATTTGATTCCTTAAATACCTGCAATTTTTTTGACCGAATTGTGTAACATTTATATGTTATCGCCTTTCTCACTTTTGAAATTGCAGAGCCGAAGACAATCATGAACACACAAATTTCAAATATGACAAGTACATTTAACATGAAAAAGTTTACTATCTAAAGAAGGTTAAATATTTTTAGGGTAATTGGCACTTTGCACCCCTGAATTACCTGCCTTTGGCACTTTGCAACCTTAAATTACAAAAATAGCACTTTGCACCCTTTAATTAGTATTTGCTTGGCACTTTGCACCCTAGTGCAACTTTTGGCTAGAAAATGAACCTACAACCTGTTTTATGGGTTTGAAGAGGGGCATATTTGTCTTTATAATTTCCAACAAACTTAACAATCGTTCTTTTACTTTTCTTTCTTCATTCTCAATTGGAAATCTGCAAAGTTTATGAATTCTAAGCTATTCGTTCCATTTTTTTCAGCTCTAATCTTTATAATGAATTCTTACTGATTGTGATGTAGTAGCCAAGTGTATCAAATATTTTTTGAATCACTACTTGTTTGAAAAACAGAGTGAATAGAGGGATGATGGCAAGCATGACATAATTCATCCACAAATAATAAAACCGGCAACTTTAAGAAGTGTCTATTTACAAAGCCTCCAATCAAATAATTTGACCTTATTTGGGACCGAACATTTTCCATATAAATCCCCATAGCCTCTCACTAATATTCATAGTAGAGTTGCTGCCAAAATTTCTAAAACCGAATAGGTAAAGAGAAGAAGAGCCATTTTTATTGATAATGAACACATAAAAGAGAAGATGAGGAAAATTATAAAATCCCTATGTATATGAGCATAAACAGTTCATAAAATTTTAGATAATTTTTTTACCTAAAAGCATTTCAGTGTTGATTTCTTGTGTAGATTCTCCAACTATTCTTGAATTATAGCTAATAAATTAGCATATTAGGGCAAAATAAGATTTATTTTGGAAGGATTGAAGAAAAAAAAATATTAGAGCTTCTTCTTAGGAATTCTTTGAATCTGTTTTTTTCATCCCAATATACCCAGTTGCAGTAAAAGGCCAAAGTTGCTTCTCTTGAAACCCATATGACCGGTTGTAGGTCATGTTTTTAGCCAAAAAGTGTAGTAGGGTGCAAAGTGCCAAACAAATACTAATTAGAGGGTGCAAAGTGCTATTTTTTTAATTTAAGGGTGCAAAGTGCCAAAGACATGTAATTCGAGGGTGCAAAGTGTCAATTACCCAATATTTTTAAGTAGTAATTTAACCGAGTGTCCGGACAATTGGGAAAGTACTATACATCGATATGATGATAATTCTTGGCATCCATATTTACAACAAAGTAAATAAACAATTAATCAATTACAAAACATAAGTAACTATTTAAGTTCACAATTAACTAAACAATATTTGTTTGGTAAATGATTTTCTTCAAAATAGTTTATATTTGAGAAATAATTCGATTATTCTTTTTTCTACATTTGAATTGAATTAAACAAAAATTGGATTCTTAAGAAAATTGAAATGAAAAAGTAATATGTATGTTAACTATTGTTTATACCAATACGAGAAAAAAGTACCCATATTTGAAGAACGTGAATCTCAATTCGGAGAAATTGAGAATAAATCCTTTTCTTGAGTGTGGAGCCTTGATTTGCTTCAAAATCTTTCAAATTGTTATTCCAGTTGTGTAAAGATTTTACCAAAACAATAATATATTGTATAAGTTACAGTTCCCATGGCCATATGGGTGCAAATGAGCTGAGCCAACTCGTGAGCCCGGAGAGCCGACTCGACAAAAGCTCAACCTTGAACTCGAATTTTTTGAGCTCGAGCTCTAACGAGTCGAGCCCGAGCTCATTCTTAGTTATAAATTCATAGAAGAAAAAAAATTACAGCTCATTCTTTTCGAATTTTTTATTATAATTTATAATAATAAAATCCTAACAATATTAAAAAAAAAATACACAAAATGGGCTCTGTCTCGAGTTTGAGAAGAAAAAAATGCTCGAAGAGTTCGATCTCGTCAAAATGGATTTGAACTCGGCTGAAAATATTGATCTGAAACACACCGACACCCGAATCGTGAAAAACAATGCAAGCTTAGTTACGTTAAACACAAAGAGAATCCTCAATCATACATACGGGTTCTACAAAGCCGCAGGCCCTAATTAAATCACTTTTTTTTTTTTTTTTTTTTTTTTTTTTTTTTTTTTTTTTTTTTGGTAATGCAGGAACCCGCAGCCAACCATATAGGTGCACTGGGTAAACCTACACTCTCGTATAATAGCTTGCAAACCATACGAGAGATGCCCTAATTAAATCACTTTGAGAATGAAACAAATAAAAAAGGCATATATTGGACACATTTAATTTAAGTATTTGCAAAATTAGGCATTAATGGAGTTGAAGTCAACAAATCATGAATCAAATGGTGACTTCATCACTCCAATCTGGAAACTCAGCCCTAAGCACAACGTCGTCGTCAGCAGCAGCAGCAGCAATCTGCTCGACTCGTACGAACTCCAAGCAATCACTAAACAGCTCAATCGTGCTATTCGTGCCTCAAACGGCCAATCGGCTCCTCGTTCACCTCGTCTTTTATCGCCCTTTTATCTCCATCGGTTAGACCGTATTTACAAACAGAATTCCAATAAGTCGAAGAAGATTTCTAGCTCAAAGCGAAATAGTGAATCCACTACGGAGGTCAAAGGAACAAGAGGATTCGTTCTTCGGCTTTGGAACAAGGTCAAACAAGGATTTTTAAGAGGGAATAAATTCAATACCTAAAAGGTGCATCGTTCATTTTGTAACACATAACGAAAGCAAATTTACCTTTTAAATTGCCGATGCCGACACGGATATCAATATTGCAGTTATGGTTGATAAATCGGAAATCAGATTGAATATCATTTTTTTCCCGTTCAATGTACAAATTGTAATTGCAAAACACCACAAGTTTATAAGTTAAATATACGTATTGTTTTACCGGAATAATACAGCCAACAAAATTGCCTCACTTTAAAACAAGATAAGTAGTTTGTACACAATATGGCTTCTAACCTACTATCATTCTTTTGTATTCTTGTAATATACTTACTACACGCGAGTTTACAGCTAAACCTAAAAGATAAAAACTAGGACAGACGAAGAGCCATTTCTTGAAGCAGTGCCCTCTTTTGCGATACATTGATAACGTGATTGGTTTCCGCATTTTCAAGAACGTCGGCGATAATTGCAGCTGCGTGACCTAGAGGCTCCTCTGCAGCTCTCTTCAACATAAATGCCTAAGACAAACAAATGAAAAATGTGAAAAAAAGAATCAGAAAAAAAATGTACTTCAAAGTAACTTGTTTTCATTAATGACAGATTAGTGCTCGTTTTAGAACTCTGTGAGAGAGAGAGAGAGAGAGAGAGAGAGAGTTTTCAGTGTAGTGTGTAATTCTTTTTAATGTGTGTTTTCGGTGTAGTGTGTGTATTTTTTTAGTGTGTTTTCGGTGTAGTGTGTGTGTGTGTTTTTTTCGTGTGTGTTTTCGGTGTAGTGTGTGTATTTTTTTTAGTGTGTGTTTTTGGTGTAGTGTGTGTAATTCTTTTTAGTGTGTGTTTTCGGTGGTGTGTGCATATTTTTTTAGCGTGTGTTTTCGGTGTAGTGTGTGCATTTTTTTAGTGTGTGTTTTCGGTGCAGTGTGTGTAATTTTTTCTAGTGTGCGTTTCGGTGTCGTGTTTGTATTTTTTTTAGTGAGAGAGAGAGAGAGACCTGTCCATGATGTGTAATGGTCAATGTACAAGGCTGTTGAAACCATGGTTCTCCGTCTATCTGGACGGGCAAATCGGCAAGAAGCTGAATCTTAATCAACTGACCTTGTGCAATCCTACGTGCCCGTGATAGTCCAACCTGTCCAATATACATATAAACGGTATTTGACCGTATTATCTTTCAATCCTAATCCGAAACGCAAATTACGTCGGAAGTCATCTCACAGGGAAAAGGATGTTTTTAACATACCTGCAGCTTTCCTAGATGCCATGTCCCCGAAATGCTTACTACTTCAAGCACTTTGTCGTGCATAGATTGAGGATCAAAATTATCGTAGTTCTCGTCTTCATTCTGCCACAGGTCAACACCACCCATATAACTCCCGATATTAGCTACAAGGACACCCTCTGCATCCTAAAACCGACGAAAGCAACAAAAACACACAGCAGTTTTATTTATAAGTTTATACAATGCCATTAATAAATAATTAAAAAATAATTTTTTTATACAGTGACACATCTTAGCGCAACGAAAGATACAAGAAGTTACATAAGAAGCAAAAAACTGAAATCAAGACCGAGTGACACAGCCCGACAAAAGAATGATTTTGAACGTAACAGGGACAACATCTTATGGAGAAAAATATATTCAGAATAAGCGTTTGCGTTCAAAATCGAAGATATGTTTCACTAACCTCGGGAACCTCAATATCAACACCGTCAACCTCAACTCGTACTTGCCATGGGAAATCGGCAAACGTCCTGTCCATGATACTTTTAGCACCTTCTCTTGCATAAAGAACCTTATTCATGAACTGCAACAACATCGAGCCATTTCGTCTCTAAGATAGTATACAAGTTCTTTATTTAACAACTCCACATTTAAAGAAGATGAATCCCGGGCCCTAGTCAGCAGCTAGACAAAACACATAGCTGAGCCCTAGTTACATTGCCCCAATTATATGATTTAGATCATTAGACACCATAATTAATCAATTGGATGATCTTAAAAGTGAAAAGCTGCATCTGCTCGCCATTAATTACTATTCAATAAAAGAATGTATTATTAATCAATGGGATAGACGCCCACTATAAATGCATATATCCATCCCCTATCAAACAATTTCCAAAATGACCAGAGTTTGTTCCGCTATAAGCATACAACGGTCCTTCAGAAATAAGAAAAGACTAGATATCAATTTTAAGAAGTTATATCTATCAAAAACAATAGGAAAATGTACCTGATTATAGAACTTCTCCGGGTTCTCTTCCCTCAGATTATGGATTTCTAAAGCAACCTTTGCATCGCATCCGACCCCTACAACAACATCCATCGGTCATAATAATTACATCACTTCAATATAAAATTATATTAAATTTGCCTAAAGTCCCCACAACTTCCCCAGGTGCAATCATTTTAACTGAGCATAAGGTTCCCAAATTAAGTTATGGTTAACCTTACATGCAAAACCAGCATCAAAGCCCCATTCTTTAGCCCGTATAAGCAACACAAATACAAATTTGTTAAGAAATAAACTTGCTAATAAGTATCATAACACAAAAGGCAAAATAAATCACATGCTAAGCATTAAGTAAACCGACTAGTCTGCCCAGAGATGAGTCTCATTTTAGTAATTCAACTTTATTTTTAAATAAGAATTTCCAGATCCATCACGAGAAATTCTATACATTTTGTTTCCCAGCACGAGCCGCGATCCAATTTCTTTAAATAGTCACTCTAACCATGATCAGGATTAAAGAATAGATAAGATTACCTCTCTGCATATTCTGCCAGTAGTGATTAATGGCACAATTTTCATTTATAGCTTACTTTCTCCACATTCAAGATCTAAAAACTTAGTTAGATATTATTAGTTTTTTCATGTTTCTTTAGCGATTAGATTATGCTGTTCAAATATTTAATCCATGATGAGAATGTTGACATAAAAAAAAGCAACAATGTCCATATAAATCGTTCAGCAACCTGGCTCGTATTCCTTAAATTTGTGCTTTCCAATTAAAGAAGCTATTTTAAAACTTCCTAAATGTGGCCAAGCAATAATGATGTGATCATACCAAGATAATTGTTGAGAAATTTCGGGGCATGGAGTGGTTTGCCCAGCTGGTTTGAGATCGAGACCTTCCATCGATCAAGAATGGTAACTGCAGCATGTTCTATGTGATCCAAAAGTGTGCAAAGGCCTCCTTGCCTCTCAACTGAACCCAAGCCACCCCCCCAAGACAGAACTCGAGCCAAATCGTTTCCAGTTCCGGCAGGAAGAATGGCTACTGGTGGAGGAGAAACATAATTTTGCTTGTCTATAGCATCAAATACCCAGCCGACAGTACCATCTCCTCCACAGACAAGAATACGGAAATGAGGCACCTTTCTGAATAAGTAAAGTCCAGCTTCTGGCCCCTGCGTCGAGCATAATTCAAAAACCTAAAACAAAATGCCAGTTCAGTCAAGAAAATATAAGGCAGGTCGATTTTAGTAGCAACTTATAAAGAAGGATTAATCTATGAAAGCATGCAGAAACCTAAGCCTATGTTACTCATAAAATAAGGTCAACGAGGGTGCGTGTGTTACGTATACAGCTAAAAAGCATAGATGGTTGTTGTTACTCATCCCTATGTCGCAAATGTATTCTCAGATTTTTCAATTTTTTTTCAGATACCGATGGCTGACTTATAATTTTTTCCTATCAGATGAAAGAGAAAACGCCTACCACAAACGAACGGTTGAAAAATTCTCATATACATGAATATGAATGTGTTTTGGTGTTTATGATCGAACTATCCCAACTACATGGATACAGTATCTCATCATTGCATCCATATTCTTCGAGAATTACAAATATAAATTTACAGTCAAACTTTAATATTGCAGATTCTATCAATAAAGATTCTACGTCAGAAGCTAGGGTTATAACAGTTCTGACCTGTACAGGATTCAGAATAATGTTCAGTCTTTGCTTGAGTGAATCTCCTCTTTGAGCTCCACTCTTTTTGTTGATAAACACTAACAGCGGTCTTGCCTCTGGCGGCAGATCAATCAATTCATATTTCTGTCTCGTGCCTGTCAAATGTAACTCATCTTTCTGATTAATCGACGGGCTTCCGTACAAACTGGATGTCCTTTCCGTCGTTTTTGCTTCTCCGGGTTCTTGATTCACCTCTTCTTTAGCCGTATTTCCGTTATGGTTTTCTCCTATTCTACGAGTACCGTTAGCAGTTTGATTGGTCTCTGCAGCACTGTCTGTGGACGTATCACTCGTATTACTACTACAACCTGCATCAGCAGAGCTCTCGTATCGATGCTTTTTTTTATTACTTCGACTTCTGATGGTAGCACGGACTGAAGATGCAATCTCATTGGCTCCATGTGTGATCGAACTCAATATTCCGCCGGCAGAAGTAGTCGTATTCAACTGCTTAACATATAGGGGTGATAGGATAAGCCTTCTAAACGGGCCCAAATCACAAACATCGCCCGTTTCATTAAACATGCTACCATGGCAATCAACGTGCACTAGGCGCCGACACCATAAGCAACACCATATCGGCGATCCCCCGAGAAACGAACCACTGCACGGCTCTTCACAGTAGCTGCAGAATGAAGATTCGTCAGATTGATCGGTTACTTCGGTCCACTGCACTGCCCATTGATGCACTACGTGGTCATAGCCAAACATCGAAACACACTTACAGTCTTCGTGCGCGTTCGACGAGCAGCTCAAGTGAGATTCCGCACCGCATATGCCGCAGCGGTGGATGAAACTATCCGAAGCTACAATGGGGCTCAGTGTTTGGGAAGGTGAAACAGACTTTAAGCATACGCAGCAGTTCAAACTTTTTCCTCGAGTTACAGATTCCAAAACCCAAGTATGAGGAGTCAGTGCAACCTTGTTCCTTGTTTTCGGATTTTTCTTTGACCTAGCGATGGCTTTCATCCAACTTAAATTGATGTTTCTTCTCCACTGGAAAGCCGTATAGTAAATAGTCAAGATTCCCACCAAACCGGCAACGCAACAGGAAATAATAAACAGATGGGCTTCTGCCATTTCAACCGGACGTTTACGTATCCAGCTGGGAAGAAGAGCATCAGATTCCATGATTAAAAATCTAGTGTTTCTCGATCTGCTAAGTTGTACATAAGCGAAGGAAGCTCATTCGCACGGCAGTGCACATCTGCAGTCACCACTGAGGGTAGGGAAAGTGTGCACCGTTTGCATCCCCACATCGATGGTATTATTTACCACTAGCTAGAAACTGAAAAGGAATATTGTGCATAAATTATCGACGTCCAGTCAAGTTTTTACAAAGCCACATAACCAAGTCATGATGACTTTTTTTCCATATATGTGAGATGCAACTACATTCCTATGCGAAGCTCCTTGACTGCGTGAGCAAACAATTGCATGAACACCTTCCAATTTTGAAAGAAAAAAAAAGCATCAGGAGAACAATAAATCAAAAACCCCTAACAAACAAGAGAAAAGAACTAGTACAAATTGCATGACGGCAAATTACGACCACCTCTGAGTTATGGTCAAATTACGAAAAACCCCCTCCTGTTTCAGAAATTACAGCCACCCCCTCAACTATGTATTCTCTTACGGAAATACCCCTCCGGGGGTAAATTTAGGGATGTTAAATCGGTAAAACCGAACCGAAATTTCGGTACGCCAACATTTCATACCGTTTATCGAATTGAATATTCGATTTGGTTCGGTAAATAACCGAATTACATAAATTTTATGTAAAAATATTTAAAAGGAGGGGGGTGGCTGTAATTACCCAAACAAGAGGGTTTTTTTCATAATTTGTCCATACCTCAGGGGGTGGCCGTAATTTGCCCTAAAATAAAACACATCAAGGTAGTAATACCAGAAAAGTATATAGCCCAGGATTTGGACAACTTCACGTCAAAAGATGTAAATGTTTAACACTTAACAACTAATAGAACAAGAAACTAACTGATGAAGTATTAAACATGAAATAAACATAACACTTTTTATCGTATGCATGTTCTTTATAGCGAGAATAAAATTGTTGACTTGACTCGCAATAGTACTCGTTAAGATACATGAAATCCAGTCTACAATTATCATCCTAAGAAGAAGATTTTGTCATAATCCTAACAAAAAGCATTTGCATATACTACGCAGTATTGTGTGAACCAATCTTGCAGCACACGGACCAGTTATCGTTAAAGGATATATTTTCAGTTGCGTAAACGTATTTTCCAATCCGGCAACTTACTATAAAATCTATTTAGTTGACTAACTAGATATCAACTAACAAAGTTATCCGAACATTTTATAAGCTGACACAAAACCGAACTGGAAGAATATGGCAAAGTGATACCAAACACAAATTTTCACAGATTTCGTGAATCAATGTATCACCTAATTTAGAAAGCCACCGGTCAAAATTCTAGAACCCCATCCATAAAGTCGTAATAAATACAGGAAACATAACGTTAGTCATTTAATTTCCCTCTTTGAATCAATATATTAGTCTATTAGACAAAGTTACAGTGCCGAAACCCGAAAACCAGAAAAAAAGAAAAAAAAAAAAAAAAAAAAACAATTTCACAACGGAATGCAGTTAGAAGACAACTTTGTACTTAGAAGAAACCATCATGGTCTTCGAGAAATTTCCAAAGTATTGAACTATTTTGTGACGAAAACGCTAATCCTGGTCGATAATACGTCATCAATAGTTCAGCCGAAAAAAAGAAAAAGAAAAGAGAGATAACAACTTCATCAATTACAACTTATCAGTTCCCGTTCGCCTATTCAATGTGAGAGCTAATTGCAACTTAACGGAATGCAAACGACGAATATAATCGACTAATTTACGGAGTTAAATTCGAAATTTCTTGCTGAAACAAGTATCCAGCTTACTTAGAAAAAACAACATCCCAAATCATTAATGAACAATTTAAAATTCTATGACAGCCAAATGGATCTTGTTTCTATTTTAAGAATAATATCATAATCTCAACACACAGTACAAAAAAAAACCCAAAATAACAATCAATAGCTTAATCAACTTTCCAATTTGAAAAAATGAAAAAACAGCAGCATCGAAGTCACAGACAGACCCAACTTTAGTACACAGTGGTAAGAACAAAATCACAATAAATTCAAAAATTCCCCTTTTGCCCTTAACGGTGAAGCATTTCATAATAAAAATGAAAAGAAAAAGAAACAAACTTACGCAGCAAAGAACAGGGTTTCTTCTTCCTTAACCAGGAATCGAAATAAAAAATGGCGAAACTGATCGTTCTTGTTGAACTGCTAAATCTGATTGGGTCAAAAGATAAATCTACAGAATTTGCATATTTCTGAAAATTGATCGAATCATCTAAAGAATTTTTTTGAATAATTTTGGGGAAAGTTTTATGGGGATTTGATGTTGAACACAGTCCTACGACCGACTGTTAATTTGGAAATGGAATCTCGAGAGAGGGGACACGTGGCGATAGATGAAGGCCTTTAAAGTTGGGGGAAATAGAATACAGTGGGATTCCGGCGGCCCTACTGCTGCTTTTGCTGATTCTTTTGACTACTACGTGTTCGTCGCGTGTATATCGACTACGTGTTATATTTCCAATTTTGTTGATAAACTATTTAAACTTTTTTCAAACTAAAAATCTTTTTTTATAGAAAAACTGACTTGCTGTGCGATTTATTTTACTTGTAACTTTCTCAATAAAATCAAAAATCGCCCGAAAATTTACTTTATAATTCGCAAAATGCAGTGAACAGATTCGTGTACAAATGCACGAAATATATGTATTTATCATTATAGAACACAAAAGACGAAATTGGAGGGATATCATGATTTCTTTAGTTTCGTGATGAAGAACACGAAATGTTAGTTCTAATTTCGTAGTATTATACACGAAATTGAAGCTCAGGATTCGTACAATACTGTACGAAACCCCTAATTATTATTTTTTTATTTAACAAAATTATTTGTTAACAGTCAAATAAATACAATAAATTCACATAAATTTAGGAACGAAAGAATAGAAGTCGGTTCCTTCATGTTCAAGTATTGGAGGGGCAGTCAGGGGCGGACCCAAGGTATACCTTGGGGGGGCCTCCGCCCCTGTAGGAAAAATTTATTTACCTATTTTTTATTAGATTTTTAATATTTTATGTTATTTATCTATTGATTTATATCATTTAGCCCCCCCAAACTTCAAATTTAATATCATTTTAGTCCAAAATTTTTTTTTAGCCCCCCACCCAATAACCCCTGGGCCCGCCCCTGGGGGCAGTAGATTCTTGTGTTGGAATACGAGAACCACGGCATTTCATTTTCGATTGAGGCGTTCCATCAGTGCTTCTATCAATATATATTTGCTTTAGGAATCTTTGATGTAGGGGAGAATTGACGACCCTTGGAACCACAAGACGACTTAATTGTCTCCGAATCAATGTGATACTGCTATTTGGGAGCGTCTCTCTTTGTTGAATTATCCTTTGGTCGTCATTTGATCTTAACAAACGATGGCTCGGACAGATGAGCCGTAGACGAATAAATGATGCCACGCAATGAGGCCACGATGTTTATCTTGCTCGGATATTTCATCTTCTTCAACTCGCAATTCAGGTATCAATCTGTCTATGCACAATCGCCTCGCGGTTTACTTGATATTCATGTAGATCTGAAGGTTCAACTGATATGGTACTCCAGAATGGATGCAGGTCTGAAATGACGAACATGTCATTATCTTCCATTTTCTGCACAATTTTACACGTACAAGAGAACCCATGAGTATTCCAAAGATAGTTGGTGCAAATACTCGGATATTCCAAACATAGTTGGTGCAAATACTCTTGATCCAATTTCTCTAATGCCAGATGCGTAATGTAACAAATCAAACTCTGGAAGCACGGCCACGCTGTAGTATGCTTCCTTATTGTGGATGATAATGAAAAACCGCACTTCAACTGACTAATTTCGATATGAACTTGGTCCCAAAGTTTGCCTTGTACGTTATCAACACCTTCGGGCGAAGGATTTGATCAACCCTTTGCAGAAGAACGAGCACTCTCCACCATGTTCGATTACAACAACAATCAAATTATAATATAAATATTATTTTTATATGCTATTTTTATCATTGAAATAACTAAGACATGTAATACATGTTGGTGCTCGTGTTGCCAATTAAATCTTACCACCAATACGGTCTTGATTACAACTGATTAATATTCATGATATTAGATCTTACCATCAATACGGTCTTGATTTGCGATTCTCTACCCACACGTGATAATCAGAGGGAGATTTTCACCAGATTGGTGATAACTACTAACCACAAAACACTGTATGCGGTTCCATTGTGATAAATACAAATGTAGTATAATTAATTGTGTATTAAATAATGCAGCTCAAAAGACTGGAGCTTGTGTTGCTCAATGGTATTCTAAAGAGTGCAAGCGAAGATTTAATTTAAATAACCTCACCTACGAAAACACCGATTGGATACTCCTCCAACCAAATGGGTAATTTAAAAAAAAAAATTATTTCTTGGCACTTGTGATATTATTTGTAGTTCTAATCAAATCATACCTACAAGTACGAATGTGGATTATATGTGTGCTTGATAATGATGAATGGAAACAAATTCAATCCATCAATCAGTAATGTGAGCAAAAACAATACATACCTAAAGGTTAACTATACATTTAGTTTTGTTCAAAAAATATAATTATCAATGCAAACTGAATTTCATTTCTTTGTAGGGAGATTTAGAATTACTAAGGAGATCTCTGGCTTTGACGCTTTCCCGAACTAAATATCAGAGCATGAATTATGTAATCGAGTTCCTAGTCAACGTCGATGGTTGTCTTCGGTGATACTGAGGAAGATTTTGATCTATATGATACTCCACTGACTTTGTAATCAAAGTAGAATGGTCGTAAATAACTGTCTGAATGCTTATTCTTTTGGTGGATTTTGGCACTCATGGCTTTTTTAGGGATAATATTTGTAAGTGGATTGGGTTTGACCCAATTTTTTTATATTGACCACTTATTCTTTTATACGCATCAAAAAATAAATAATAATTAATATTTAAAGGATGATTTGCTATAATGTCGTTGTTGATTCCTATTGATGCACATGTTACTATATATAATGTTGTCGGTGATTTTTGCTGATAAAATGACGATTTGCTCTTCTCTCCCTCTCTTTCTCTTCTCTTTTGCTATAATTTCTCTGATTTTGTTCTAAGTGCCCTAGTTTTGTCAAATTTATTGTGAATACACAAATTCCTGTAACAAAAAAAAATACAATGCATTCGTACTCATCTAACAACACGACGATGATGAGGAACAATACTTCCACGGCACACTTGGATTTAAGGTATGCAAAGCCTCCTCTATGCAAGTGAAAATTGAGATTAGGTATAAAGGTGGTTCAACTTAGTCCAGACACGAAAGGGTAAATTGTACTACTCCTGTCAAGAATGCAATTTTTTCGCTAGTGTCATCCACAGTGGGCGCTTAAGGTACCGCTTGGAATGCATGCCTAGTATCCCAATTCTGAAGATTACGAGTAAGATTTTTCAGATGAGATGTAAGAGGCAGATGAAGTTTTACCAAGAGTCAGATCTACAAGGGTTGGTGGTAGAGATGAAGATGGAAAACTTTGGCATATTTCATGGATTATAAGTGCATCATTGTTTATCATCGTGGTTGTTCTATTATTGAAGCTCTCTAGAAAATTGTTAATTGACTTATTAGGTATTAATAATATACTAGAAGATCCTTTTCAAAAGATGTAATGAATTAGTTTTCAGGACGACAAATAGCGAAAAAAATCAATTTATTTACATTTATTAAGTGGTTATTTATATGAACTAATATTTAACAAACTAATTAACAATTAATAAATTATGATCCAATTCTCACAAGCGATCTATTTCCACCAGCGAATCCCAAATCCTCTAAATAGAATGATTGTTTGATTCTAGAGTAAAATTTGTCAAGATTTCATCAAGTTCCAATCTCGAATTTTATGGATTGTTTTACGTATGATTTTCAGCAAAAATGAGGTGAAAAGAAGAAGGGTTTTTATTAACTTTTTTATAATTTGGTCATTTTGGGTTTGTGGTTGTAATGGATATATATTCGCCATTCTTGAATTCATAAGCAAGCAACTAACAACAATTATTTGCAGCAATTTTTCTATTTGAAAAGTATTGTAAAAAAAGTCCATTAAATTAGTTGAGGGGAAATAATTTTATTCCATATTAGCATTTTTCCATATTAGTATTTTTTATTTAAATGCAATAAATAATTTTAAGTGAAAATGATAGATTTGTAATTACTCAAATTATTATTTTATATATTTTTCTAGGAAGTCCGAAACCACTTTTTGATTGAACGGTTCAGATATAGTTTCTTTAAAATGACATCGGCTATGACTCGAGCGTGGCCATGTCATGGCCGAGAAAGAGTGTCAAGCAAGGTTTGGCACAAGACAGCCACATAATCGGCCAATGAGTTGTTGAGTGTTGGGCAAGCATTTGGGATGTTTGTCCGAGAAAGCAAAGAATGGTTTGAATCAAGCGGAAACGGTGATCGAAAGTACATGTGGCTAGAATGGGCGTTGCTCGGCAGATAATGCGAACAAACGTGGCAGTTATCGGCATGTGGCCAAGAACTTGGGCAAGCGAGAGTTCGAAGGAAATCGACCACGACTTGACAAGTGTGGGCAAGTTGGCACGGCCGGTTGGCAAGTCAAGGAGGACAACCCGATGAGCGGGTGTGCTAATAACCTTGTGGGCAAAGAATTGGCAAGTAATTCGCAACACGAGCAAAGTGTGAGGACAAGGCAAGACAGGCGGGCTGCCAAGCAACCGGCCGGGCTATTTTGGAAAACATGTAAAATTGCCCCTTATTAATTGTAATAATTAGTCAAGTGTTAGACTAGTTTGCTGCCAAGTCTCCCTAGGTAGTTTTCTGTGGAAAGTACATTCTTCCTTGTAATTATATGGATTTGAGTGCACAAATCTGCCCATCTAGTATTAGAGAGTTCAGATTGCAATTGTGGGCATTATGAGTGAGGATTTTGTGTGTGCACCTTAGTCTCCTTTGTATTCTTTGTAGGAAATTAATATAAATGTTGGGCATTTCCCGTAAACGTGTTTGTGTGTAGTTTTATGCTGCATACTCTTGTTCTTGTTTACGTTGGCTCAAAAGACTTGTGTTTGTGCATTTTGTACGAAGAGAATCGAGAGGAAGGCTGACTGATTTGGTGGGCAAATCAGGCCGCACGGGTGAAAATTTCTTGAGGAAATAAACCCCTGTGACAGTTGGTATCAGAGCCCGGTTCAAGGGTTCTGAACGTGTAGCTGTTCGGCATGGCTGAACATTCTGGATCTTCAAAAAATCCAAATCCTACTCGTGTGATGATTCTAGAAATGGAATCAAGGTTGCAACGTCTTGAAGCCTTGGTTGGGCCGCCCCTAGATCCAACAGATCCACCAATCTTGCAACGGCTTGCTGATGGGAAGCGAGAACTCGACCGTTTGTCAAGATCGTTGGATGATCTGCCCGAGTTTGTGGAAGGAAGATTCACGTCCATTAC